GCTGAATTGTTAATCAGACCCTTACACTATTTTAATGTAAATATTATGTTTATAAATGAATATAAGAAGGATACTGAGCCAACAGCTTCGTCCTCCCATACTACCGAGGAGATAATGAACCGTTCCGCTAAGCCCCAACCCTTAAAAATATTGTGCCAAAAAATAAAAAATAAAATAAAATAACAACAACCCTAGATGCCTGGAAATAGCATCTGGCAACCTATAGAGCCACTTCCCCTAGCGGACGACTAGGTTGGGACAAAGGTGAGCAAATTTTGCTAAAATCAAAGATTTAAAAAAAGTAATAAAAATATGAGAAGGGGGAGAGCGCCTCTTTCCCCATCCCCTTGGGTCCGCTACTGATGCACCTACCGGTCCCTACGCAGTGGACCCGTGGGGCCCTGGGAGAAAAACAAATCCTGGGGGAAAAAGTTTCTGTCATTTTTTTCAACTTAGAGACTGTAGGTGTCGCCTGAATTTAAATAATCTGTAAAGTCAAAATCTAATACCAGTCAGTAAGCCAAATTACCAATTTACAGTACATACAATAATTGAGAATTTGAAATTTAGCACTATATTATCAGTTATTATATAATTTGTCATGTTTTATCGGCTTGTATCCTGTACTAAGTAATCTATTTGAATTGGTCCAACAACAAAAAAATCTAATTTGAGTAAAATATAGAAACATTTCAGATAACTAACATTACGTGAGTATTGGAGGAAACGCCAATACATAATCAGTTTATTGTATGCCAAGGTAAAGGTCGGATCCGATCCGACCTTCAAATTGGCAAACAGATCGAGGACACCCCGGGAACACAGCATGCCCACTAACAATGCATTGCATCAACTTTAGCTAGTACTTGAATACCTCCTTCGTTTGTGGAGCAATGTTTCTGACAACGTCACGAAACCATCCCCGTAACAGACCACCGCGAGTCAATGGCGGTGTGTGATTTGTATTTTGGTTAAAAAGCACAATTTTTACCATCTTAAATAATAATTCCTGGCCTTCACCGGAGACCCTAGTTGGCCCCATGTTTCGGATGGTGGTGTTGATGGTGCTGTTCTCTCATTTGTGGTGAAACTACCACCTTCAATCCTTTGTCACATAATTGTACATAGTACTATACATTACATTTTTTTATACACTAAGGCTTAAATTTCTTTAAAATACGAACAAAAGTAGGAACAAATTGAGGATGAGGTAAAATGTCAAATGATGTTTTATTTTATTTTATTTTTTATTTTTTTATTTTTTTAATAAGAGAAAAACCAACAAATCTTCTGTACTTTAAGTGCAGTAAGTATGACTATGCAGTACAGTACAGTAATATGCCATTGTACAAGGATATTCTATCATTGTAAAAAGCCTGATATCAGCAAAAAACCAGAACACTGAGTCTGGGAAAATGTTACTGGTTCTCTTTAAAAAGGGTGTATAGGCCTAATACTTGTATCAGATTATAATATTGATAAACTTGGTGAAGGGGATATCGCAGTAGGGTGCGGTTGCGTTAATAACGACAGATAAATTGTGATACTGAAGAAAAGACAGACTTTGGTGGAGAATGATGATGATGATGATGACAATGATGATGGTTGTGATGATGAAGATGATGATGAGTCTTATGCTTTGCTCGCGTGCTTCCTCCTTGTCGGAATATTTGGCCTGCTCCCTTAGGGCCGACCGCACCACTGACGTTTCAGGACTTGGGATATTATTTTCCCAAGCCCCCTTAAATGCAAGTCATCTACTATAACGGCCATTTCCCTAACATTTGATACGTCTTCCAAAACCATTAGAACTAGGCCTACAGTATATTTTTAATGAGTCATGGGTGTTTGCCGATTGCACACAGGCGCAATATTGGTCATATCAACATAATATCAATAAAAGCAGGGGTATAGCTATTCATTAGCTATAGCTCAAAAAACTTAAGCTAGCATTAGTAAAGCAATCAAATATCGAAATATATCACTATTATTGGCTATAGC